ACTGCTGTCCCAGGCCCGGTTCCCTAGTCCCGACACCAGTCCTGAGCCCCCCAGCTCCGGACAACCCTGAACCCCCACAGGAGCATGGGGACCTCCCAGCTAGTTTCCCTCTTGGGTCTACAAGCCAAGGAGGAATTCAGTCCATGGGGAGCCCTCCTCCCGGAAGGCCCTGTCCCTGCGTGGCCGGCCAGCACCCCAGGGCAGAGCACATCGGATCCCAGGGCCTCCCGGGGCCATCAGAGAAGAGACGGACGGGAACCGAGCACAGACCGCTGGCCCAGGCGGCCTCCCAGACACAGCCCTGCTCAGCACACAGAGGCACAGAGGGACGGGGCGGCCCGCCTGCAGCAGCTGCAGCCTCGGCCAAGCCCGCCGGCCCAGTGGAGTCACGGATTTTCTGGGGGAGCGGCCGGGGTACCCACACTGGAGGGGAGAAGGCAGTGCCTTCCTTCCAGGCCCCCCAGCTTCCCTAAGCTCGCCTGGCTGTGCCCCCAGGGCAGCGTCTGCTCTGACACATTTCCAAACCCTAAGGCAGGGGTCCTCAAACTACAGCTCGCGGGCCACATGCAAATACAAATATTGTATTTGTTCCCCCTTTTGTTTTTTTACTTCAAAATAAGATATGTGCAGTGTGCATAGGAATTTGTTCATAGTTTTTTTTAAAACTATAGTCCGGCCCTCCAATGGTCTGAGGGACAGTGAACTGGCCCCGTTTAAAAAGTTCGAGGACCCCTGCCCTAAGGAGTGCGAACAGACACCCTCAGAGGGGCAGGGCAGGCAGGGCCGGACAAAGGAAGGGGAAGCTCTACACCCAGCCTCTCACCGGGGCGGGTCCCGCAGGCCACCCTGGGGCAGTGCCTGCAGCTTAACCCAGGCCTGCCAAGCTGTGGGTGCACACGGGACAGTTTACTTGCACAGACTGTGGGGACATGATGCAGGGACAAGGATGTGAGCTGTTCACCCAGAACACCACAACCCACGGCCCAGGCCTCTCGCCCTCAGCACCCTCCCTCTACGGCCCGCCACAAGGCACGAACTCGCAGTGCGGCCTGAAAGCCAGGCGCACTTCCTCCGCGAGGGCTGACTGTGAAAGTATAAAGTCTCCCACCCCACTTCTCAGCCATGCGCCACTTCCAGCCGCCCTGGCTCGCTGGGAGGTGAAGGCTGCCCTGTCCCATCCCCCGAGCTTGGCTGTCGCAGCCTGGCCTCCTGGCGGGACAACAGGGGAGGAGCAGGGGCCCAGCAAGGGGCTCTGCCCTGGCTGCACCCCACTCCCCTGCCTCTCCACATCTCTGACGCCCCTCCCTCCCCCAAAGACATGGATGCAGCCCCCAGACCCTGCTGAGCAGCAGGAAGAGCCTCCTCGGTGGGGCCTTGCTGGGGGGCAGACACTGGCTTTCTGTCCTGTCTGCCTGCAGCTGGAGGGGCCGACGCCGATAACCCCAGGGTGGCCAAAAGCAACGCAGGTCCCAGCGCCTTCTGGCTGGTGCTTAAAGGGCCGGGGCGGGGACTCACCTGGCCGCTTGATGGGCTTCTTGGTGGGCGTGTCTTTCCTCTTGTTGGGGATGGCAGGGGAGTAGGGAACCCCAGAGGCAGAACTGTTCTTCCGGAAATGCTCCTTCAGGCCCTTGATGGAGCGGTCCAGCTGGCTGGAGCGGATCTGGTAGTAGACGTTCATGAAATCTGAGGAGAGATGTGGCGATGGGCCTGTGGCAGCCGGTCCCGGCCTTTCCCCTCTAGACCAGCTCCGCGGGGCGGCAGTGCGTCCACTATTTCTACTTGCTAACCCCTTCCTAGCACCTCCTCGGGCTCGTAGCCACCCACGGGGCCTTGCCCCGAATCAGGCAAAGTCTTTAAAGGGAAAGTATCCCCCAATAGAACTGATGATTTTTTTTAAGTTCTGAAGCTAAGTATTTTCAGATAAAAAATATATAAAGATTAGGTAAGGAGTCAAAGGATGTGAGTAATTTATAGGAGGCACAGAGACAACAAATGTCAGTGAATGGAAAAAAACACTATTATCTTTAGCCATTACAAAATGATTGATTTGAGAGAGAGAGAGAAGCATAGAGAAACATCAAGGAGTCAAAGGATGTGAGTAATTTATAGGAGGCACAAAGACAACAAATGTCAGTGAATGGAAAAAACACTATTATCATTAGCCATTACAAAATGATTTTATTAATTTTTATTGATTTGAGAGAGAGAGAGAAGCATAGATGTGAGAGAGAAACATTGATTAGTTGCCTCCTGTACGCACCCTGACTGGGGATTGAACCCACTACCTAGGTATGTGCTCTGGCTGGGAATCGACCCCACAACCTTTTGGTGTACGAGACGACACTCCAACTCACTGAGCCACCCGGCCATGGCTAAACTTTTTATTAAAAACAAAACAAAAAAACCACCCCTGCCCCTCCCCCTGGGCCGGCCCCTCACCTTGGTTGTGGCCGAATTCCACCAGCCAGCGGGAGATGCGGATCACGTCCAGGAGCACGCCCTCCGGCAGGTGCTCCAGGGGCACCTCCTCCTGGATCTCCAGCTCCTCCTCCCCACTGATCAGATCCAGGATGAGCACAGGGGAGACCACCTTACTGTGCCGAGTCATCAGGCTGCGGAACTCCGACTCCAGGGACTCCTTCCCCCGCTCGAACAGCAGCTTCTGCAGGGGCGAGGGGAGGGAGGAGGGCCCACTGCTGCTGCGGCATTCGGCTCGCCCGCCCCTCCCCGCCTCTGCCTGCACTTCCTTGAACCCAGAGAAGAAAGGCAGGAAGCCTTCCTTGGTCCTTCCTTCAGCTCAGGTTCTCGCTAACGGGATGCTCACAGGTGAAACCCAGGGCTGTATAAGCAGATGCTGCATGAACACTGGCTGATTACCTTCTCACTGCACTACCAATGTCTTCTTGTTAGAAAAGGGTTTGCAAGGAAAGAACTAGAGCAGTGATGGCGAACCTATGTCACCTCTGACACGCGAACTCATTTTTTTGGTTGATTTTTCTTTGTTAAATGGCATTTAAATATATAAAATAAATATCAAAAATATAAATCTTTGTTTTACTATGGTTGCAAATATGTGACACGGCACCAGAGTTAAGTTAGGATTTTTCAAAATGCTGACATGCCGAGCTCAAAAGGTTCACCATCACTGAACTAGATCAACTGAACTGTCACATTAAAAGCTTTTGTGCTGTAAATGATACCATCAAAAAAAGTAAAAAAAAACCACAGAATGAAATTACTTGCAAATCATATATCTGATAAAGGACAGGTATCCAGAACATATAAGAGAATTGGAAACATGTTCATACAAAATCATGAAATACATCAGACAGAGAAGGACAAATACCGTATGGTTTCACTTATATGTGGGATCTAAAAAAACAAAATAAACAAACAAACGAAACAGAAATAAACGCTCAGGTGCAGAGAACAAATTGGTGGTCACCAGATGGGAGGGGAGTTGGAGGGATAGATGGAAAAGGTTAGGGATTACCAAGTACAAATTGGTGTTTATTCAAACAGTCACAGGGATGTTAAGTACAGCATAGGGAATACAATCAATAACATTGTAATAACTATGTATGGTGTCAAGTAGGTACTAGACTTATAAGGGTGATCACTTCATAAGGTACATAAATGTCTAATCACTACACTTGAAACTAATAAGATTGCATGTCAACTGTAATATAAAAATAAATTTTTAATAAAAATAGTGAGATTGATAAGTTTTATATTATGTACTTTTTACCACAATAAGAAAACCCCAAATGCATTTGTAAAAATCAAATGTTAAATTTATATTGTTGCCCTGACTGGTTTGGCTCAGTGGATAGAGCGTTGGCCTGCAGACTCAAGGGTCCCAGGTTCGATTCTGGTCGAGGGCATGTACCTTGGTTGCAGGCACATCCCCAGTAGGGGGCGTGCAGGAGGCAGCTGATGGATGTTTCTCATAGATGTTTCTAGCTCTCTATCCCTCTCCTGTCCTCTCTGTAAAAAATCAATAAAATATATTTTAAAAAATTTTATATTGTAGAAGTAATTTATAAACTTGTTAAGTTATGCAAATGCAATAAAAATGTATATCTGGGGCTCGCTTTGGAAGCTTACAGAGAAGATTAGCATGCCCCCTGCACAAGGATGACACACAAATTCATGAAGCGTTCCACATTTAAAAAAAAAAAAAAAGTATATCTGTAGCCCTAGACGGTTGCCTCAGTGGACAGAGCATCGACCTGCAGACTGAAAGGTCCCGGGTTCGATTCCGGTCAAGGGCACATGCCCGGGTTACAGGCTGGATCCCCAGTGTGGGGCGTGCAGGAGGCAACTGATCAATGATTCTCTCTCATCATTGATGTTTCTATCTCCCTCTTCCTCTCCCTTCCTCTCTGAAATCAATAAAAAAAATTTTTTTTTAATGTATATCTGTGATTCCTGAGGTAGAGTTCTTCAGGACCACAATATGTGTACTATATTAGTACTATGTTTATTCCACTACATTCTCCTTTAAGCTGGTTCAGTCTCTCATGAGACCAGGGCAGGGACTGATGTCCCCACACCTCCCCTCGGTGCCCCAGGGGGGGGCCCCTTACCACTTTGTTGAGCTCTGGGCTGTCTGGGCTGTTGTCCTGGAAATACTCCACAGCCTTCTGAATCTTGGCCATGCTTCCCAGGTACTCGTCCAGCCTCCCTGTAGGGCTGGGAAGGAACAGAGCTGTGTCAGCCTGGCTGGATGGAAGAGGAAGAGAAGGACCCATGTGGAGGGGGAAGAAGAGAATTAATATCGGGGACTCCAGGCTCAAATATATTCTACCCCCCTTCCCCTTCAACGCCGCTGGTCCAGGAGGCATCAAGGATGTCAACAATAAATTAACAAAAAATAAAAGAAAAAGTCAATTAAAAAAACAAAGAACAATGAAAGGAATGTGACCTCCTGGCCTAGCTCACCCCTCCCTGATGACCTTCTCGGTGTCACTGGCCACATGGTAGTAGCTGATGACGTGGTCCAGGCAGGACAGAGTCTTCTCCACGTTCTCCTGCAGCCGCTGCAGGTTCTCTGTCTGCTTGTGCACGGGGATGATGGAGTTCTCCAGCTTCATCAGGCGGCTCTCAAAGGACGACAGGATGGACACCTGCGGGGGAACACGTGCTCTCAGGCTTCTAGGCACCACCAGGTCTCTGGCCTTGGCTGCTTTTTCTCTGGTTTTCTAGACAATAAGCTCCACGAGGGAAGGGCCGGGGGTGCAGCTGTTCACCCCTGTGTCCTCAGCACATAGGAGGTGGTCCAAACACATTGGATGAAATTTGATTTGAAGGCAAGGCAAGCAACAAAGGACCTTCCCCCAAGATAATCACCCCGATGGTTTCCCTTCCAACCTTTGAAGCCAAATCTCAATGTCTGATCTTTCTGAGGCTTCCCTAGACTGAACAGGGCGTAGTTGCATATGGAGTCGCCTCAAATTCATTGTTGGCACTTTCAAAAGCCTCTCTCGCTAGGGGTGAATCTCACTACATAAGGACTAGGACAGTGGTCGGCAAACTCATTCGTCAACAGAGCCAAATATCAACAGTACGATTGAAATTTCTTTTGAGAGCCAAATTTTTTAAACTTAAACTATATAGGTAGGTACATTGTCATTAACTTAATTAGGGTACTCCTAAGGCTTAGGAAGAGCCACAGTCAAGGGGCCAAAGAGCCGCATGTGGCTCGCGAGCCGCAGTTTGCCGACCACGGTACTAGGACTTCATGACTGTGTTACTACATGCATACACCAAGCTTGTATTTACTCAACCTGTGCTTTACAGTCCCCTCTGGAAATAAAGAAGAAACCTCATATTTGTGGAGCACCTACTGTATACCAGGTGCTGTGCAAGATGGGTCCCCATGGATTGGCTCCTATGACCTTCACAGCCACAGGGGGAGGGTGGCATTGTCCCTGTCTTACCATATGAGTTAACTGAGGCTCAGAGTTACCTGCCAGGAGCCACACACAAACAAGTGGAGGGTGAGGACCAGATCCCAGATCTGTCCGATTTCAGAGCTCATCCTACCCCAGAGCCCTGGGGGAGGGAGATGGCTGAGTCTTGTCTGCCCTCAGCAGCCTCAGAAGTGCCACCCCTGCCCTCCGCCCGTCGCCTGAAGTGAGGATGACACACGACCGTCCCCGGCCCACCCAAGTCAGCCTCACTGTGTTTGCAGCAGGAGATGAAGGGGAGGGCGTGGAGAGAAGACCAAGCCCAGGCCAGCGGGGCAGCAGCATCCTCAGGGAGGAGGCGGACCAGGGGGAGGCAACGAGGTAAGGGACACGCCCGCCACATTGCTGCCGCCGGAGAAACCCACCCAATACCACCATTCCTACCCAGGCCAGAACCCCAGGCCTTACGGACCGGACCGGACCGGACCCGCCAGGTCGCCGAGCTCTCTGGAGGCCTGCAGCCCCTCCCAGCTGGGGGTTACTCACCATGTTCCTGGTGAGCTGGTCGCTCTTCTCCAGGCTGTCTCGGATGAAGGACAGCGTCTCCTCCTCCTGGGGGCGCGGAGGGGAGGCATCACCAGAAGCCCGCGGCTGCAGATCACCGCGTCCCGGCCCGCGGCCTCGCCCCGAGCCCAGCTCCTTGCAGCGAGTGCCCCTCTCCCCACTGCCTCCTTCCAGAGGGGATGCCGGGCCCGGGCCTCGGCGCCTTCCCTCCCCGCCGCCCCCGCCCGGGTCTCACCTGCTTCAGCTTGTCCTCGATTTCCCGCCGCCGGGCGGACGCCTCCTGCGGGGGAATCATCCCTGCGGCCCGGCGCCGCTTCCCCTTCCAGTGTTTTGTGTCTGCGTGCGTCCCTCCTCGGCTTCCGTCCCCGTTACACCCACTTCCGCCCCTGGCCCCGCCCCGAGCGCACTGGTGGGGCCATGTTGGGACTGGCAGGCGGAAGTGCTCCGCGGGGCCCGGAAACGGGCTGGGGACGTAGCCATCTTGGGTGTGGCCAAGGGTGGCCCCGCGGACTAGCGGGAGAGCCGCGCTCAGCACTTCACTTGCCGGAACCACACCCGCCCACAGTAGACGCTCAGAAAAGTATCTCGCTAGCATCGCGCTCTGTATGTCTAGGGAAGGCACTCCTTTATGGTTGTGAACAAATACTGTCTTTTTTTGCCCCAAATCTTTATTGTTGAAAGTATAACTTATGTCCCCCTTTTCCCTCAATTGCCCCCTTTTAGCCCGCCCCCGCCCCTATGGTCTGTGTCCATGGGTTATGTACACATGCATACAATGAACAGATACTTTCAACTTTATGCAATCTCATTGCATTTTAAAAAAAATATATTTTATTGATTTTTTACAGAGAGGAAGGGAGAGAGATGGAGAGTTAGAAACATCGATGAGAGAGAAACATCTATCCGCTGCCTCCTGCACACTCCCTACTGGGGATGGGCCCGCAACCCAGGTACATGCCCTTGACCGGAATCGAACCTGGGACCTTTCATTCCGCAGGCCAACGCTCTATCCACTGAGCCAAACAGGCTAGGGCTCATTGCATTTTTGGTAAATGAACTATGTGTGTATGTCCCCCTTTTCCCTCAATTGCCCCCTTTTAGCCCGCCCCCGCCCCTATGGTCTGTGTCCATGGGTTATGTACACATGCATACAATGAACAGATACTTTCAACTTTATGCAATCTCATTGCATTTTTAAAAAAATATATTTTATTGATTTTTTACAGAGAGGAAGGGAGAGAGATGGAGAGTTAGAAACATCGATGAGAGAGAAACATCTATCCGCTGCCTCCTGCACACTCCCTACTGGGGATGTGCCCACAACCAAGGTACATGCTCTTGACCGGAATCGAACTTGGGACCCTTCAGTCCGCAGGCCGACGCTCTAGCCACTGAGCCAAACTGGTCAGGGCTGTGTGTGCTTTTTTGCATTTTCTCAAATTTCCTGCACCAAGTGTAATTTGGGAGCCAGCTGCGATGTAGTGAGAGCCTGTTTGCCATCGCTGTCACCCGTTCCCCTCCCCATCTTGGCTAATCCTCGCGGTAAGCTTCCGGGTGGGCACGGCGCTGTCTCCCTGCAGCAGCGGAGGAAGCGGGCTCAGCGGGTCGCTGCCTCAGTCAACGCAGCTGCGGGGACGTCTGCTCCCGCCCTCCTCCCAGGCTCAGGACGTGGGTTTGTTGCTCTGCAAAGCTGCCAATCTGATGGTCAAGAAAAGCCACTGTGGCCCTAACCGGTTTGGCTCAGTGGATAGAGCGTCGGCCTGCAGACTGAAGGGTCCCAGGTCCGATTCCGGTCAGAGGTGTGTACCTTGGTTGCAGGCACATCCCCGGTAGGGAGTGTGCAGGAGGCAGCTGATCAATGTTTCTAGCTCTCTATCCCTCTCCCTTCCTCTCTGTAAAAAATCAATAAAATATATTTTTTAAAAAAGAAAAGAAAAGCCACTGTGGAAAGCAGGTTATTTTTATGACCACCATAGCTAAAAAAAAAAAAAAAAAAAAAGTAGACAGAATGAAAAGATGAATTTAACTTCATGCTCAACCCAGTGTGAGGCATGTAGGTGAGACATTGATGCAGTAATTTCCCCAGCGAGACGCGGCACAAGCTGCTTCCACAAAGGAGCAAGCGGTGGTTCAACTAGGTGCGGAAGCCTTGGTTTTCCTTCGCCACCTTGCACAGAACACCAGGGTGCCCATCTTAGCCGAGCCCCCCTCTGCGGCTGAGGCTCCCTTTCAGGAGGGAAGGAGGGAGGGGGGAGGAACAGTTTCCTTCTTTGGTAACTTCCTAATTCCAGGCTTTGTGCTTTCCCCCATGTACCAAGGGTAACATCCCTCCAGATTAATGTTTCCTGGCGGCCCCGGGCCATACTGGAAATGTGCATGCTACGACATCAACAGCCACAGCAGGGTCTGCTCCCTGGGATTACAGCCATTTAAAGATGAGAGATGGCCCTAACCGGTTTGGCTCAGTGGGTAGAGTGTTGGCCTACGGACTGAAGGGTCCCGGGTTCGATTCTGGTCAAGGGCATATACCTTGGTTGTGGGCACATCCCCAGTAGGGGGTGTGCAGGAGGCAGCTGATCAATGTTTCTCTCTCATGGATGTTTCTAACTCTCTATCCCTCTCCCTTCCTCTCTGTAAAAAGTCAATAAAATATATTAAAAAAAAATAAAGATGAGAGATGCATTGCAAAAAAGGAAAACATTTTCAGAGTACAAGGGATGCTCAAGTTTTTCTAGTTTCTAGACTGTGAGTTTAAATCCCCTCTCTATTGCTAACACTTCTAAGAAAACAAATTTTTCCATTTTTGGTAATGATAAAAAAAATAGATTCTTTTTTGTCTGTTTCATTTAGAAATCACCAGCCATCAACAATGCCATCTGACAGAGTGGTCAGAGGAGTGTTTTTTTTCTTCTTCTTCTTGAAATCCTTTTATATATAAAATGAAAGGAAGCCCAGGAGTGGACAGCTGTTGCGCGCTTTCTTACGGGAGAGAAAGCAAAGGAAACTTTTAGTGTGCTTTCAGCCACGTGTAGGGTCAAACCTGCAATTTGGTTTTTAAAAATATTTTTAAAAAATTGATTTCAGAGAGAAAGGGAGAGGGAGAGGGAGAGGGAGAATCATCGATGAGAATCATTGAGTGGCTGCCTCCTGCACGCCCCCTACTGGGGATCCAGCACACAACCCAGGCATGTGCCCTGACCTGGAATTGAACTGTGACCTCCTGGTTCAGAGGTCAATGCTCAACCACTGAGCTGCACTGGCCAGGCTACATATTGATTTCAGAGCAAGGGAGAGAGAGAGAGAGAAACATTGATCGGCTGCCTCCCACACGTGTAACTTGGGCATGTGCCTTGACCAGAAATCCAACCCGCCACCTTTATAGTGTACGGGACCACGCTCCAACCAACCGAGCCACACTGGCCAAAGCTACAATTTGGCTTTAAAACTATTTTTTAAAATTCAATGTAATTCTATCCAAACTGCAAAGAAGGTACATATGCCCTCCTCTGCCTTGACCCCCAGGCGGTTACTCTGTCCCAGAAGGAACCACAGTTATAACTTTCTGGATGGAGTTATACGAACCCAGGCATATTATACACAGAATAACCCTCTCTCTCTCTCTCTCTCTCTCTCTCTCTCTCTCTCTCTCTCTCTCTTCCCTTCCCTCCTTCTTTCCCTCCCTTCCACTCTCTCTAAAAAATGCAATGGAAAAAATATCCTAGGGTGAGGATTAACAACAACAAAATATATCCTTTCCTGGAGCCTGCATGTTCACTTCATAGTACACCTTTGTTTTCCCCCTCCAGGTGAGCTTTAAAAGCATTTTCCCAACTGCAAATTGAATCCCCCTGAGTAAACTGGTTTGAATTCAATCCTCAAAGAGGCTGGGGGTGTCCCCAGGGGACATGCCCACTTGAGGAATGGAGGCCAAGTGTGACCCGGGAGAGGGAGGGCTGGCAGGCTGGACCAGGACCTCCTGGCGGAGCTTGTGAAGTGGCCCACAGCCCAGAGGAAGGGCGCACAGGCCGGGGCTGGACCCCGCTGAGGGCAGATCAAAGGCCGAGTGACAACAGTGAGAGGAAAGCTAGGCCGGGGCAGGCGGTGTCAGGAGGGGGACAGGAAGGCCTGGGCTGCCCAGCACCTGGGGCGGGTGAGCCACACATCTGTGATGAGCAAGTAAACAAACAACTAAGTGATGGCTAAACCCAGGAGGCCAAGGGAGGAGCAGGGGCAAGGAGGGAGGACCGCAGGGATGAGACAACCTGGGGGGGAGGCGGGAGGGGGTGTTCCCAGAGTGGGGAGTCGAGAGGAAGGAGGTTCATGCGCCTTTGGAGGCAGCTGTGAGCTTCCGGGGCCTGAACATCACCGCAACATGCTCGCAGGGAGCAGGCACACCTCGCGGAGCTGGGGGTAGAGCCGCTGTTCCCTCTGTGCACCCCAGTCCCCCCCACCTGTCACCGTGGGCAGGGCAGGCCCCGGGAGCGGGTGGGAGTATGTCCCACGTGGCGGCTGACGCCTGCCCTCCCCGGGCTCTCCCTGGGGCATCTTCAGGCTCCAGGATGCCCCTGCTGCTTTCCAGAAGCCTCTGGGAGGGTTTTGAGGACGCGGCTGTGCCGCAGGGGGGCGCGCTCCCCCGCTA